TTGAGGCTGAAAAAGACCTTAGGGCTGTGATACCACATGGTTTGAAAGGAAAAAAAAAGACCTTAGGACTGTGATACCACGTGGTTTGAAAGAATCTAACCAGTGTACGAGGGCTTATGGCAATGCAAACAATATTATGGGAAAGATAAATGGCACAATTTTCTATAATCAATCTGATATTATTTTGAAACTGTATAAATCGTTTGTTCGTCCACATATTGAATATTGTACACCTGTTTGGTCAGCTTTTTATGTCAAAGATAAAGACTGAATTGAAAAAATACAACATTGTATTTAGAAAAATGAAAATAAAAGTGGAACATCTATCTTATGCAGACAGAATACTTAAACTAGGTCTATGGACATTTGACGTTCTTCGAACATATCGGGTTTTATAGGTGGGGTACAAGATGTTGCATAAATTTTTTACTATTTAATATAAACTTTTTATTAAATTAGCCACAAACAAAAGAACAAGAGGTCACCTACTTACACTGGTTAAGCATAGATTCACAATTGTGGTCAGACAAGATTTCTTCACAGCAGCGGCTGCGCTAGGCAAATCGTGGACGTCGGCAAACTTAGCTTTGCGAGGCACCTTTTTGTAAAAAAAAACTAAGAAAAACAAACCTTGATTTGGCCGAATCTCCGGGCTTAAATTTTTATTAAGCACTATTTTTTATTGAGAGTTATAAACGCAAGTCAGAGCTGTTATTGTTAATTATTTTAAACATATTTATTTTACATTTAATTTTGATATAGGTATTCACACTTATTTGTTCCTAATATTTAAATACTAGGTTTCATTATAAACTTAAAAATTTAGATTGAAAATTTTAGAAGGAGCATATAAGTTTTATTGTTAGTTATGATATGAATTAATAACAATAATTTCACGAACAAACATAAATTACAAAACCTTTCAGCGCTTAGCCTCGCTGAATCTTTTTAAAATTGTGTCCTAACTAACACCCGCTGCTAATTGGACAAAATGGATAAAGCAGTTAGTCTTTCTTGGCTCATCGTGTTTCTTAAGTATGTCTTAATCAGTTTTAACATTGAGAAGCTTCTCTGAGCAGAAGCTAGTACAGCTGGAATTGTGAGCATGATTCTGATTGTTATGTAAACATTTGGATATATTTCTTCAAAATTATTTTCTAAAATATACTGTATAATTTGCTTTGCATCATTTATATTTTCTAGTAAAGTAGATTTTAAAATTTGCAGTTCTTCATAAAGTTCGAAAGGATCTATGTCGCTGTTTTCACCTTCCCAAAGTATTGTACCTAAATCATTACAATGCTTGTGCAGGTTCTCTCTTAGCAAAAATTTCAAATAATTGATATCGTAAATAAAACCAAAACGGTCAAAATATTCATTAAGCGCTTTGAATCAACATTCAGTGTCAACTATGACTGCGTCTATCATTGTATAGGTTTATCTATGTGTTAATATCCAAACATTAGAGTTTCTAAATCGTCCATTTTATTTTTCAAGTCATTCACACATTCGACAACATTATCAAAATGCAACAGTATAGCTTTTACTGTTCATATTCCTCTCTCCCACCGTATCTCTGAAAGAGGTTTAAGCGTTAGTTTCAATTTAGTTTTTGTAAATTCCCAACGCTTGCTTGTCTTTGAAAAGAGTACATAGATTTAATTTAATAATGCCAAAAAATGGTTTAGCTGCTGCAGATGAATTAGCTGCATCTAATAAAAGTAAATTCCAGCTATCCGCACGGTGTTAAGAATGCTCTTGGATTAATGTTGAGTATTCTTGTTCTGACACATTTATAAATGCCTTCCATATTGGCGCCATTATTATATCCTGTTCTCGACAATTTTGTTTATCCAGACCATCTCTCTCTAGTTCTTGTAATATGGAGTTTGCTAAATACTTTCCTGTAGTTTCCGTAACGGCAATAAAACCAACAAAATGTTCCTCCATCGCTCCAGTTGAGGAATTGCAAAATCTTCATAATTTTGACATTTGCTCAATACGACTTGCATCTCTGGTGCAATCGAGCAAAAAAAAATAGTATTATGTTTGTTTAACTCTGTGTATAATTTCATCAATAACTGTTTCATACATCAAAGTAATTATCTCATTTTGAATGTCGTGGCTCAGATAATTTTGAGCAATTTGTTTTTCATTAATTCGTTGCAATTTGTTGTTATTTGGATAACAATTTAAATAAGTCTATAAAGTTACCAATAAAGACTTAAACATTTAGACTTAAATAAGTCTATATGTTTCTGCTATTGACCAGGTTAAGTGATTCGCGGTAACCTCTAAATGCCAGAGTGTGTGAGGCTAAAAAGTCTATTATATTAATCAATCTTTCAAACAAATTATACCAATATTTGTTTGAAAAATTGATTGTTTTTTTAAACAATCATTCGTTTCCCTCTTTGATTCTTTTATAAAATTCCATCCATTTAACCATGCACATCATGTGTCCTTAATTTTTTTCATGTCTATGCAATATTCGACTCAGATCTTTCCAGTCAAAACATCCTTTTTTCACCGTCTGAGTATGCGAAAAAAATTTACAAGGAAAGCAATAAACTTTATCTTTTGTCAAAGAGTAAACTAACCATTTGCGGTGTTGAGTTTTGCCGTTTAATAAGTAATCGCGTAAAATGAAATTTAGAAAAATGTCTGTTATTCGCGTGTTTGGGGTAACTTTCATCTGATTTCTCTATATTTTGATGGGGACTGTTTTGAATTAAATCATAACGCTGAGAGTCGGTTATTGGAAATGTCTATTTTCCCGCATCTAAGTTTATAATGGTTCGCTTGAATGAATTTCAAGTTTTGATTTTTATTTTTTTATGGTATTAACTTTAAGTTATAATCATAAAAGAAGCAGAATATTTTTAATTAACTTTTTAAATTACGTGTAATTAATTAAATAAAGAGTTAAATTTTATTTATAACAGTTTGTAATGTTCACTTACTTTGTTATTGTTTTGATAACAGATAGTAGTAATAAGCAATAGCTGAACTAAAAGCTTAAATAATTGCACTATATTTAATACTTAAATTTAACTTATTAAACTAAGTTAAACTACGTTATAATAACAAAATTTTAAATTTGAATTTAAATTCATTTTCATTTCTCAGATTTTTAATTGTTTTACTAATAAATTTGACGGGTGTCACGTGCTGTTATCTATGGAAGCCGATAAAGTTCATTAAACAAATATCTTTCAAATCTAGAAATATTTATTTTAAATCCAGAAATTTATTTTAAATCTCAAAATATATTTTAAATCCAAAAATATATTTAAATCAGAAAATATCTTACAAATCGCAAAATATATTTAAATCCAAAAATATATTTTAAATCCAGAAATTTTATTTTTGTTGTGGAAGAAAATATTTATTTAATACTGAGTTTTTTTGTCCTTTGTGCGGGGTACGAAGGAGACGGAACGAAGGAATTAAAGGAAGACACATTAATTCAAAACAACTACGCGGAAGAATTGATTAGGCATTACTTTCATAAAAAAACGCAATTCAAAAAAATTGTTTTACTGTTAAGTCGCATGATTTGCAAATTAGTGTTAGTACATAAAAACATTATTTAAATACAATGGATTTGAAGAGAGAAAACAGATTATTTGAAAACACTTCTATCCATCGCTTTATAGAAGCAGAGGTGCAAACTTTTGCCGGAATTAAAGGTTACCGCAGTATATGGCACATATTATGCATAAGTTACGGTATCTCCGTCAACAGTCATGAACATTCTCAGACAAATTAACCCTAAGCAAATCAAAAAATAGAAAACATTGCAAACTAAAACGATGAGTTTATAGTTTCCCAGGTCTAAATTTTGTGTGGCAAGTCAATAGCAACGATAAATTAAAGATGTATCCCTTACGGAAATATTCCATGGAAAACCCATGGAATTCCATGAGTAAACCATGGTTTTCCCATGAAAAACGGGAATTCCATGGAATTTCCATGGGTAAATTTCATGAAAATTGAAATCCTATGGAATTTCCATGGGTGAACCATGTTTTTTTTTTCATAGCTTAAGCTGCGCCATGGTTGTTACAAATGCGCTTTTAAAGATGACGTCATAGCTCGTAGAGTTATGATTATTTTTAAATTAGAAAACAATACTTACTGCATTCTTCTGTTTTTCTGTGTTTAATAAGGCTATGAATTATATGTTTTTTATAATGCAATACATTTATATGTTTTAACTAAACATACAGACATAAACAACTAGATATATTTATCATATAATGCATTATAAAAGGGATTATTTTTAATTATATTTTATTATATATCATTTATGCGTATACTTATTTTAACTGTTTCCAGTAGCTTTGCTTACTTTGCATAACTTGCAATAGTATAGCAAGTATGTCAAGTAAACCAGTTTGAATTTTAATGCCTACTTGGCAAATTATTTGCCAAATAATTATTATTTGGTTTACAACAAATAAATGTTTAGTTTTAATCTACATTAAATAACTAGTGTATTAATGTACATAGTGTAATTTAATGTACATTCAAACTAGTATAATTATTATTATAAAATTTATCGAACGTATTAAAGAAACTTATTTAAAATATTAATATACAAGCAGTATATTAGATAAGATTAGATAACTAAGATAATAAGATTAGATAACTAATGTACAAAAGATAACTAGTATGATCTTTTTTATTTTTTTTTTTATAATAGCCTTAGATTACATAAAAATGCTTGAAGTTTATTGTATCGTAAATGTTCATTAAGTATTAAAAAACATTTTTTTATGATAAATGTTCTATTCAATTTTAGTTCTGTTAAGTTGTTTTTGTCTTTTTGTTGTAGTTTTTTCTTTAGAATTATTAGAATATGTAAATAATGTAATATAAATAATGTTTATAAATTCTTTTATATTTACTTTATTATTTCATTTAAATTACTACATTATAAGCCAACAGGTTTGACTGGCAATATAAATAATGTTGTTCATTGTTTATATTGTTTATAACATCGTCAGTTTTTATATGCATTTAATATTTTTAAAAATAGTTCAAAAGCTGTCAAAATAAAATGGTGAATTGAGTTTAAACCAGAAAAGATATAAACGTAATCTTTGGGATTCAACTTGTAAGGATGTTCCAAGAACCACTTAGTTGGAGAAGGAAAACTGTGGTAATATTTTATAAGTATCAGTAAGGAAATTTACTTAATGCACAAGATTTTACTTCATAGTTAAATATAAGCATATAAAAGCAATGTTTATAAATAATACACTATTATTTATTATAATACAATTATTTTTATTTGTTTATATTTAACTGATGTAAAGTGCTCGTCTTTAGTTAAAATAAATTAATTTTTGCACACACTTTGATATTTACTATGCTTTTACATTACTATACTTTATAAATTACATATTTGTTATGTTTTAAATAGTGAAGTAAAAATATAATAAATTTTTGAATTTAATGGTATGTGCGTAAGTTCTTTTATTTTAACTTTATCATTTTATTTAAATTACTGCATTATAAGCAGGTAAGTTTGACTGACAATATAAATAATGTTGTACATCATGCAGACAGCTCAGACAAAGAAGTAAGTTTTTACTTAAAATTACAATTTATAAGTTATACTATATTTGTTGCTGCCTTATTCTATATAAATGTTACTAACATGCAGGTAAAATTTATATATGTGTATAAATCTTTTCATTTTAACCTTATCATTTCATTTAAATATAAATTTTTAATTTATTTATTTAGCCGTTCATTAACAAGTCCTGTGCTTTATAATATATTAAAAAATGGAAGGACGTGAAGAAAACAGGTTTGTAAATGATGTTGTACATCATGCAGATAGCTCAGAAGAAGAAGTAAGTTTTTTTTTTTAATTACAAAAGTAAATATATAATATAATATTTGTTGCTGCCTTGTTCTATATAAATGTTTCTAACATGCAGGTAACATTTATATATGTATTAGTTTAAATAAATCATTTTAATAAAGTTACATTATAGGCAGGAATGTTTGACTGGAAATATAAACGATGTTGTACATAATGCAGATAGCTTAGGCAAAAAAGAGGTAACAATCTAATAATTTGTATTTATAAATAATGATATATTCATTGCTACTTTTTTCTATATACCTAACATTTGGCAACATTCATAATTGTGTATAATGCCTAATTATAAAGTAAGTTATAATAGATAATAATTATAAGTAAAATGAATTAGTAAATAAAGAAAACTAGTTAGAATGTATATAATAGTTGTATGATGTATTGTCTAGATTGGTGAAATGGAGAATGAGACTAACTAGGGTGAAAAAAAATGAATATTAATATGTGAATGGTACTTTGTTTAACATCTACCTGTTTCTACAGATACAGTACAGACGCATTTATAAATGGGCTTGATGTTTTTTTGAATTAAATATGTTGTATTGATGGTTCTTTTTAACTTGTTAAAACTTGAAGTTATTATCAAATTTATATATACTATTTTTATCAAATAGTTAATATAAAATAATAAACATGTAAATTGTTTTATTTTTTGTAAAAATTGTTTTCTTGATAAATTTCAATTGTTTATCACTATGTATATCACTTATAGTATTACATTACTTGTAATTTTTTGTTTTATTTATTTTCAGTATGTTATACATATCCGTGCATTAAATATTGTGGGGAAGTCAAGTTTTGATGTTTTAGGTGCATTATAGCTATTATTTTTCAAAGATTTGTAGGATTTAACAAGATTTAGATTTTATTTTGTTTATTGATTTTATTTGAAGAAAGCGATCTCATAGATTAAGAGAACTCAATAATAGTGGGATAAAATTTGCTTTTATGATTTAATATGACAATTCAAATAACATTAGATAAAAAACTTGAAAACAAATCATGCTTTTTTACCATGAAAAATCCATAAGTTTTCATTGGAAAGGTGTTCCTAATACCTATGGAAATTCCATGGTTTTTCCATGGATGGAAAATCATTGAATATCCATGGTATTTGGAACACTTTTCCATGAAAAACTTAAAGATTTTTCATGGGAAATTCATGTGTTTTCCATGGAAAACTCATGGTTTTTCCATGGAAAACTCATGGTTTTTCCATGGAAAACTCATGGTTTTTCCATGGAGAACTCATGGTTTTTCCATGGAAAACTCATGGTTTTTCCATGGAAAACTCATGGTTTTTTCATGGAAAACTCATGGTTTTTTCATGGGAACGTGTTCCAAATACCCATGGTTTTTCCATGGGTTTTTTTTCTAAAATTCCCATGGGAAATTTTCGTACGGGATGGTTTCCCTATTCATGGATGCATAGATGGGTTTTCTCGTTAAATAATTTGGATAGATTTTTGCCGTACAAATAATGACCCAATTATTCCTGCTCATTTTTACCTTAATGCATTGAAAGAATTAAAAGTGTGTCTAGATACTCTGAGAACTGATTTCGGCACAGAAAATGATATTGTTGCAGCAATACACTCTTTTGTACATAATGATATCAATGCTCACAAGTATAGCAGTTTGCAGTCAAAAAAAACCTGTGGTTAAACTTTAAACGGACATATACAACATCATTTATAGAGTATTTTAAAAGAATAGTACTTAATGATGATTTAAGATTTAGGAATCGTTTCCAAATGGAATGCGTTTGGTTTAGTTACTCTGAATTAATACAATTTGAGCTCGATAAAATGAAAGAGGAATGGAATTCCCATAATATTAGAAAATCCATTCATGCGAATGTCCACGTAATATCAGAGGAAATGTTTTATTTACCAGAGCTCTATGGCTATCAGCAACGTGGAGTAACGACGACATTCTTTCTGGTATACTTAGTCAAAGAGATATTCACACTAAAGCCTACGAAATTTTGAACAAGTGCAACTTTAAAGGCGTAATAAACGAAAACGGACCGACGAAAAACTGGCATGAAGCAAGAACAATTTATAATACAGTTATTTATCAAGAAATATAATTTTGTGCTTTTAGCTATAATATATTAAAGTACGCTAAGAAGCTATTTAAATATAGTATTTTATATAAATATATATATATATTTATATATACATATATATATATATATATATATATATATATATATATATATATATATATATATATATATATATATATATATATATATATATATATATATATATATATATACAGGGCCGCCGAGAGCTGTCACGCCGCCTAGGACCTTTTTTAATTTTCTTTTCTTTTTTTTAGGTACCTATATTTCATTTGGCGCCCCTTGAGAATCTGCCGCCCGGGACAAACTGTCCCTCGCAACCCCTTCCTCTCGGTGGCACTGTATATATATATATATATATATATATATATATATATATATATATATATATATATATATATATATATATATATATATATATATATATATATATATATACTTATATTAGGGCCCTGCGAAGCTTCAAAATTTCAAATCGAATCAAAAATATAATTCGAGATACGATTCGAAAATTTTTAAAAATCGAATCCTTATTTTTTATGTTTTTGTTGTGGGTGTTTTAGATACTTTGCGTTTTGGTGCTATCAAAAAAAGTTATAAGTTACTTATCATTAAGTACCTTTTTAATCAGTCATTAAAAAGGTTAAACAGGGCAAGAAGCATCAATAAAAAGGTTATGCAGTTGCTTTATTTTATTTTCTTTTGAAATATATATTATTAAATAAAAAATGCTTAAATTTAGACTTCAGAATGTTGATTCGAAACATGATTTGAATCGCGAATCAAGACTTGCTTTGATTCGAGATTCGATTCGAAACAAAAACTGCCGATATTAAATCAAAAAAATCTGATTTAAATCAAAAAATCGCATCGAGTGAAAAAAATCGTGATTTTTTTACTATGCGATTGTATAAGGGTTTTTGGATATTTATCATATTAAATTAAAATATTAAAGATTGTATTAAGTTTTTTTTTTTAATATTGCTATGTTATAATTTAATATTGACTGGGTGTCAAAACTAAAGATATTATTCTGAAATGGTTTAAAACCCTATATATATATTTTTGCAGAAAAAAAAATATTTAAAGCACACCGAACAAAAACAAAAAAAAAAATGTCTTGAAGAAGATCTAACCCAGTGCAGTCCAAATTTGAAAAGCTTAAAACAAAAAGGGGCAAGGTATGCAAAGCAAGATATAGGATATCTAAAAAAGAATTTCAAACTACTTCATCCAACATTCAATTTGATGTTATAAAGCAACCGTCAAAATCATCTGTTAGCATCTTTAGCAGAAAAATGTTTTTTAAATGATCAGCAAAAAAATCACGGACAGAAAATATAATTAATAATGGTCCAATAAATAAAAATATAAGTTCTAGGTTATTGTCACTTGTTTTTAGAACAGGTCAGAGTCAAAAGGCCGTATTTGATGAGCAGATTGCAAGAATGATTTTTGAAACAAATTCATCATTTCAATTAGTTGAACATCCAGAATTCCAAAAACTTATGTTGATGTTGAGGCCAGACTATAGTGGCCCTAAAAGAAAAGACGTAGCAGACAAACTCCTAACAATAGTGTTTATAAAGAAAAAGGTAACATTTAAGACGCTCTAAATGGAGAAATTGTAAATATAGCTCTTGATGGTATTCAAACGTTCGCAAGGAGCCTATCATTTTGTTACAGTTACAACTGAAACAAGTGATGTCTATTTAGCTGACACAATTGACACATCTGGAAGCTCGCACACTTCTGAAGAGCTTTTTAAAGAACTAGCAGTTTCATCAAAAAAAAAAATATATATATAGAGCTTGAATTTGGATGTCATGTAGGAAGCATTGTTTCTGACTATGCAGCTAATGTATCAAAAATAAAGCATAGTATTGAATCTCGATCAGATATTGATGTAGTTACATATGGTAGCTCTGCACATTTAATGAATTTTTTAGCACATGACCTAGAAATTGAAAATGTTAAAAACCATATAGTAAATATTGTCAAATATTTTAGGAGCCACTTTTTTGCTTTGGCAGAATATAGAAAAGCTGGTGGACAAAAACTTGTATTGCCAAAGATACTTGCTGGAATACCATGTGTGAATTTCTAAAAGTGTATATTTCAAATTGGTCAACTCTGCTAAAAATCTGTGAGTCTAATCGGACCATAATTGACACTACAGTGCAACAAAGTGTCTTTTACTTAGTCATTAAAAAATCTGCAGAAGATTTGCATGCTTGCTTTGAACCTATTGCTTTTGCACTTGATAAAGTGACCAATGCAATACAGCAGTTGTAGTTGAAGTATCGAAAAGTCTAGAAAACAAACTTTTGTGTAAAAGTGAGAAAGTTATCCAAAAAAAAATTCAAAAAAAGATACGGAAAGGCAGTGACACCATTCCATCTTCTGGCTAATCTTCTTCACCCTCATTACTAAGTTAGAATATTGAATGAAATTGAAAAAAATACAGTAATAATTATTGAAATATTAATTATTATTATTGAATTAATAATTATTGAAATATTAATTATAAAAATTAATTATTAAAATAAATTGAAAAAAATACAGTTAAAATATGCCAATCTACAATACCCGCAGATTATTCCTAAAGTTATCAAATTTAGAGGAAAGTTGTACCCATTCCTGGAAATTGAATTTAACTTCGAGGTTTTAACAGCATTATTGTCTGTTCAGTGGTGGAGATCACAACGTTATAAATTTGAAAGTAAAACATTAAATACAATTTTGCAATTGATGACTGCATTAGCTTCATCTGCAGAAGTTGAACGTGTGCTCTCTTACATCTCCTCTTACGGCTTGGTACATTCAAAACTGAGAAATAGATTGGGTACAGAAAAAGCTGCTAAGCTTGTGTTTTTCTTCAAGGCAATTAATCAGAAGAAAATGATTCAAATTGATGTTGATGAATAATTTTAATGCTGCACACAGAAAATTTTTTAGTTTTAATTGATAATAATGTTTATTGATTTGTTTTGTGCACTGTAACATGACCTGTTTTATTTATTTTTATTGTATACTTTAAGTCATTGATTCTATAAATACATAGTTTTCCTATATTTAAGTAGTTTTGTTTTGAAATATGACAAAAATAATTTTTAAATAAATTTTTAGTATTCCAAAATGAGACATAAAAGAAAAATTTGATTTAAATCTTGATTTAAATCACTGATTTAAATCGGCCAAACATGGTCGCACGTTCTAACTGTTAGTAAACATTTGTATTCTTTTCCACTTTTTGTTCACGTATCCATTAATAGAAAACTATAGAAATAGCTTTTGGAAGCCCTAATGCGGGAATGGACAGCGAGCCAGTCAAAAACTGCAAAAAAGCATTTGATGAAAGATCCGCCAGTTCTAGATAATAAAAACACATTATCTACTCATTTGTATTTAAAAGTTTTATAATAAATTTAACAGTAAAAAATGGCAATACCAGTAT